CCCCAGCCTCGCTCGACAATGTCTCGAGCAGCCACATGGTCTTCCTACACACACACACACACACACACACACACACACACACACACACACACACACATCGGGGTGAAATCAAAATTGGGGTAACATTTTGAGGTGGCAAACAGGCTATTTTTTGTAGACTTCTCAAAAGTGTTAGTGCAAAATTTGAGGTCAATTGTTACAGTGGTTTGAAACTTGTAATGGTATAAAAACATACTTATATACATTTTCATATATTAAGATAAAATAATATTATAAAACTACAGCATACACTGAAATGTTTCATCTTAGTGAGTTGTGAATTATTATTTTTAAGATATTCGAGCATTTAATAACACTATATCTGAAGAAAAAAAAGTACCTATCTTTACTTCAAAATGTTTCTGTAATAACATGGCGTGCATAAACTACAATAAATATTTATTTTCTAGATAATCGTTAGGGAAATGTATTAATGAGGCTTCCCATCGTTTCCCACGCACACTTAAACCAGCTCCGACATCAACCATTGAAATAAGTTGTAAGTTACCACACAACTCACGGCAGAAATACAAACAATAGTCATTTAGCAATCTCTAGGTTGGTTTCCCTTCCCTAGCCGTTCAGCGAACGGCGCGCTATCTCCCAGTGTCATTGTGTGCCTGTTATCAGCCACCGCCCCGGCACCCGCTCCCGAGGCAGGCGAGGGGCGTGCCAGAAGTCAACAGCCACAGGAGAAGAGCCCTCGCCAAGGGCCACTGTGACCGAGTGGTGCTCCATCGGGCAGATGACGAAAGGTGTGTTTTAATCGATGAGTTCAGCGATTGAAAAGAAGCTCCACAATAAGATACCCGAGGATATCAGTAAAAGGGCGACTGTCACTCATTGCGTAAGATGAAAGCACTAAATGTAAACTCTTGATGTAGCTGAAGAAGGTCGAAAACGAGTGTACTTGAAATCGTGAACACTAAAAAAGCACGTCTCCTGATGGATATTTACTTTTTGTTCGATAATCTAACGCAAGCTTATCTCTATCTTGTTCACGGTACATTGATCGTGACTTCAATGATACGGCCGTGACTTCATCGCATTAGTCTTCAAGGTGAACATTAAAATGGTGGGTTCGATGTCCCTAGGAAAGGGTCCTTATGAGAACAACAAGCCGTCAATAATACAATATTAATTATTAAAGAATAGCATGAAAAATTTTGGGCGCCGTGTCTCCACTTCAAAGAGAACATTTATCTCCAGATGTCAGCAGCCTAACAATCTGTCAAGAAGCCGAGAAGCATTGCGTTTTCCGGTATCGCAGTCAATGAAAAACTCATTTCTAGCATCAAAATGTGTTTACTTTATTGTTTTTGCAAATATTCGAACAATTTTTTCCACCCAAAGAAGCTTTAAATTTACAGACTTAAAAAAAGACCGAACAAGCCTGATCAATAAATCGAATTAGAAGACATAATCTCCAACCTAGGACTGGTGGAGAGACAATGTTACATCGAACTCTTAGTGAAATAAGGATTTTAAATGTATTTATAACCTAAAAACATTTCTTTACTTTAATAAAACTTTTCTTACTGCTCAAATGGAAAGTTTAGGTCAATCAATACGTACAGATTCCCTAAGATTCATTCTATTTTCATAGTGTATACAATTCAATATCAATATTCTAACTTAAAAAGAAAATATATTCAATATTTAAAATAAAAATAAATTAAATTCAAAAATGTATTAATTGAATCCTTTATTCGGATCAGGTTAGTATTAATTGCAGTTTAAACGTTATTTCAATGTATTTGAATATAAGGGCGATTATTATTGAAAATTTTCAACGTTCAAATTTTTTTCTACTTAAAATAAAAATTGCAGAATATCGGACATGTTTGTTATCTTACGAACACGAATGATATTGGAATTATTCCTAAACTCTTGTTTACTTCGAGTTAGTGCAAAAGGCAAGTGTTCCAAATAAAAAATCATCATTTTTTTTGGTTAAGAGAAAAAATGTTTGGAAATACTTCTTGCTAACAAAAAAGTAATAAAGACTATTCGCACGATATATATCTTGTTATTTACTTTCAGTATTTAAACATAACGTTTCACTACTTTTTTCTTTTACTAATTGTAATTTACTGCCAAACCACAATATTCAGGCAGCCAAATGTATTACAAGATAATATTTTTACTTTCTGGAACAACTTAGGCAGAATAGAGAAACTACTGTAATGTTGCGGGGGGAAGACGTTGAACTGTCGACAGAAAAACTCTTATTGTCGGGCCATGGTAACAAAAAATTAATAATCTTGTCACTATATACAGTAAATTACTTTTCTAATATTTTGTGTGGTCAGAATCCATGTTTTGTGGATCGTTAATACCGAAAAATCGATGAACGGCAAATCATCTGCCCTGTCCGTGAACAGAGCTGGCGTCTAAACCGTAAACAGGATTTTCACCAAAATTGATATACCCCAATCGATCTGGCAGATGTTGTGGCCCCATGAACTCGAAACCGACGCTTCAATTGGGGGGGGGGACTTTACACAAAACCATATATACAAATATTCGAAAAAATGGCATTAAATGTTCGGATTAAATTGTGCTGTCAGATGGCGTAAAGGACACTTAAGATCAGAGCAGGTCTCATTTTCGTTAAAATCTCTGATTTTCGAAAATCGCAAAAGCTCAAATTTTCGGTGTTTTGTACACCTAAAATATTGAAGAGAGAGATTTTTTCCTTAATGAAATTAGTTTGTAGCCAAGAATTGGTGGTGCCCCATCGGTGCATTCTCTATATTTTCGAAAATTGAGGAAAAAATTGACATGGTAAATGCGTATTTCCATCATTTTGTTTAACGTAAAACTAACAAACACATTTTTTTATTTCAGAAGTTTTGATCACTGATTATGGAATTCAGAAATTGTTAGGTCACTTGTATGTAATCAAGGCAAGCTTGTGTGAAATATTATTATTTTCTAAATTATGAGCTGCAAATACTGTGACAGTTAAAATTATTCATATTTATTTCATTTGTAAAAGTTAGAAAAGATTATTACTCCACGCTATAGAAATAAACGCAGATATGCACCACTGGTGCTTCGTTTGAATTGGACGTTCAAATTTTAACCGAGTTAGTATGGCAGAAATTACAATGTATGTGAGAGTATGTGATGTAACACCTCTAGTTTTTAATGTGTCACGTTCATAGGCGTGCATGGTCTAAGCCATGAGGAGGTGCCAACGTTTGAACCTTCTTTTTCATTAACCATTTTCTATTTACATATGACATGTTACTAGTAAGATAATAAAGCGTGCTACAAGGAGAATGAAATTATAACTTTAATGATTACATAAGGCTTAGAGGCCCTTTTCAAAATTTCCAGATGGACTCGGCACTCCGGTCCCCCGTGCTTACACCTGTAAGCGAAACTTGTGGGTGCAAGGGGGTGCAGTCGTCTTCTCCCACAATTTCGAGCTTTACGGACCTTTCACAATCAAGTACAACACATTAATATACAATGTTAAGTACGTCTTAAAAGTCTTGAATAACTAAAGAGTACAAAGAAGAATTAATGCGGGATAAAATAATTGTACAACGAAGAACGATTCGAAAGAGCAGTTTCGTGGTGTTACGCCCGTACCCCATACCTGTGGTCACTTTTTGTGTGAATCGACGAAGTGCACTCTGCGGGATGCGGGATTCAGGAGTGGGGTGACATCTACTCTCCCCCCCCCCTCCATCTTGGGACAAATATATATATATATATATATATATATATATATATAT